GGATCTGCATTCATCTATCAAGCTCCATTTGACATCTGTTCTCCTCCCTGCATCCAGCACTTCAGGCTATTACAGTGTAAAACCCTAATGTGCCACATGCTGCAGTCATAAATATCTGTTCACAGATATGGAGCCTGTTGCATTCTCACGTGCACGGAAAAGAGTTGTTTGCCAGTGACAGTTGTAGGATACAGAGGATCATGGCTAATGGTTCATAATTTACATGGATTTGCATATCTTATTCTTACTCCAGCTGTGAAAATGTACTCACTCTCAGGCCATCCAAGATTTAGATGAGTTTGTTCTTTCATCGGAACAGAAATTTAGCATTAAATCACTTGCTCACCAATTGGTCCTCTGTAGTGAATGGATGCCGTCAGAATAAGAGTTCAGATAGCTGAAGAAAAAAAAACCTTCATTAAGCTGTTTCCGGATAAAATACGAGTCCTCTATCCATAATATTGCTTTTTCCAGTCATCTCATCTGTATCAGGAGAGAAATATGCACAAATCAAGCACTGTTTAGGTTGTAGTATGAGTGTAATTTATCGATTATCATCTCTTAGACACACCCCTGTTGGCTGGACCATTAATTAATAGCATATTTATGAATATATTTCAGATTCACAGCATGGTAGTGACCATTGCAAATTATGTCCATGCACCTTACAATATAGAATGATATTTATTAGTTTAATTTAGAAACATTCTTTTTGTGTTTGAATTACCGATAACGCTTTATTAAAACTGTATTTGGGCCTTTGAGGCCACTGAGTTTTTGATTGAGATAGAATTTGTTTTTGTTTTTTAGATTTGTTTTTTTTTTTTGGGGGGGGGGGTTTTGTATTTTTTTTTTTTTACTATTTATTATCTTAAGATCAAATATCAAATCAATGCTGTTCTTTTGACCATTCTATTCATCAAGGGATCCTGTGTATCACAGTTTCCACAAAACATTAAGCAGCACCATTCATGAAGCAGAATTGTTTAACACTGATAATAATTATAAAAAAATGGCAAATTAGAATGATTTCTGAAAGATCATCATGTGACACTGAAGACTGGAGTAATGGCTGTTGAAAATTCAGCTTTGCCATCACAGGAATAAATTACATTTTAAAATATATTACAACATAAAACAGTTATTTTAAAAGTATTAATAATAATATTTCATTCATAAAAATATTGTTTTTACTGTATTTTCTGATCAAATAAATGCATCCTTAGCGAGATCTTGCTGACCCCAATCTTTTGAACAATTACATATATAAATTATTGAAATGCATTTTACTGTAAAAGTGTATGTATAGTCTTGTGGAATATAATTTATATTTTCACAGTAAGTTATATCGTAATATTTATATATTTGTCCTACCTATGTATTTTTATGGTATTTTCAGTAAAATGTGTGTATATGGTAAGGTAACTTGGATGAACCATTTTAAGGGTTTTTTTCTGTAACATTTACACATTAATTTCAACCCCTAAAGAGAAAATCTGATCCATAAGTGTCAGAGTTTTTTTTTTTAAGTCTATTTAATCCTTTATTTTTTCACTGTGACTGCTTTCAAGAATGAATTTTTTTTGTTTGTTTTTGGGTTTTTTTGCCATTTCACCACCCTGTTGAATGTCAAAGTTTCAGTCAAAGACCTGAAAACTAATCTAGACAAAAAAAATATCAAGCTTGCAAAGCAAATAGTGAAGGAATGCGATTTGAAATCTCACTAGTGCTACCAAACTCTTCTTGAACATGTCAGTTTTAAACAACTGAAACACAAGGGCAAGTAAAGTAAAATAAATGCATGGCTGTAGTTCCTCTTGGCACTCTTGTATATGTTAATAATGGCCTCCCTGAGAAGTTTGTTCGTTTCGCCTCTGCAGTTCTTCTCATGTCATTTTTAGAACAGGTGAGAGCGGGTCCAAGAGCTCTTCTGTGAGCAGCACAGCCTCATATTATATGGCCTATTTCTGCCCTCTATGAATTTGAATGCAAGTGCTCCATCACGAGTGATAGCTGTGTAGCTGAGTGGGAAATCTAGCTGCAATTCACCCAATATATTTATTTATTTTATTTAGTTTTTTCAAATCCCATAAGTTGAAATGAAGGCATCAGTGCTCAGCTGTTCTCTTAATAATTTAAAGAAACTAGGGAATGAATGTCAGTGGTACTGAAGGCAAAAATTTGTCATCCACTCATGAATTAATAAATAAAATATCTCGCCACCACGATAAGTTGCCAGAGTTTGGAAGATTGTTTGTAATAAAAGCAGGACACATATTCTTTTCATCAGCCTGTTATGGTTCTTTGAGAAACAGCAAGAACCAAAAGTGGCTTTTACCTTCTTCCAGAAATGTCACTACCAATTAACTTTGTCTTGAATGGCCTTCCTGATTCATATTTGGTCTGTATCTGTCTCCAAAGGTTCTCTCAGCACACTGGAGCCTCATAGGAATGACATTTGATCTCGGCCAAGGGCCGGAGCAACCAATATCCACTAACCCATTTTATCCTCTGATTACAGCGGCCAGATTGGATTAATAACCATGCCCTTAAAGAACCATTATGGACAGGCCAAGTTATGAATTGCATGTGGAGAGCCAGAAAGAGAATGAGAGAGCTAAAAATGTGAAATTAACTAAAAGTGCATTGCTATTTTCCCCAGATTTTCACATTACAGCATCCCATGTCATAACACATTTCAGATATTTATGAGTATTTGAAGTGTGCATGCTTTGCTGAAATTAAAGCTTAAACTAGCTCAAGGCTGGTCTGTTTCACTGGTTTAAAGAGTGTTTCAGCACTTGTCAGTTGGTCAAGGTGGTTTACCTGACTGAGAGCATATAGACTGGCACAAATCAGATAAGACCAACAAACGTGGAATGTGCAAATCACTTTCTGTGGCAGTAGAAAATTCTGTCAGCATGACAGATTTTGAAATTATGACCACAGAAATGCATCACATTTTACATCATTAAAGTCATTTAAACAGTTTTCTGGCTGACTTGATATCAGCGAATTTACATAATAAAATGCTTGTTCAATAGCACCCCTTTTTGGGTACATTGTTCCACAGGAAAATAACTAGGATTATAGAAGCCTTGGCTCCTCGCCTACATTTACTGTGTAGTATTTTTCTAGCCTTCGCTATGTTCACAGCTACATTTCTGTGCCAGCCAGACATTAGAATCAATAAATTAATAACCTGCACATTATCAGCATGACAAATGGTAGCAGCTGTGCTACTTTTCTTGTGAAGCACTCTTTGGAGGTAATCAAACTTTTTTCTGCCTTTTTCTTCTTCATTTTTTTTTTTTTTTTTTTTACAAAAGTGTTTTCCCG